AAAATGAGTTCTGCAAAGCGAAGGTGAGGTACCGAACTTAGTGTTAACAGAGACAGCGGGTTGTCAAATGTCGGTAGGTCACGGTCACTAAACGATCCGTTATTACAGTGAACTGTCGTGTCTGGACGCGCTGTTAAAGAGCAGAGCAGCGGACGTGGTGTGTCGTTGTTTGTTCATATTAAGTTTGGTTCAGTGTTAGTCGGCTAGTTTTCAGCTCTAGTTCATTTCATTATTGATGACAGCAGTCAAAACATCTGTTGGAATGATCTCTGTCTCTGTCTGAATAATAGAACATCACTGAGAGCTGAGAACCATCATGACATGTGCACCTGCACAATGACACCAAACTGAGTATTACTTTCTATTCTATTGTTATTAATGTAAAACAGTTCAGCAGACTGTTTATTACAACTAAGCTGAGGGAATAATGTATTTTCAGATATCTGTGATCATCTAATCAGAGTGCTGTTTCTTTGGTCTTTTTCTCTGTACTCTACAATATGATATTGATATGATTTCTCTCTAATTATAATAATTTTCTCCATCCAGCCAGGTCTGGATCTTTGGGGACACCTACAACCTCTTGCAGCAATGATGGAGGCCCTGCACCAACTCCACCTGCAGTGTCCACACATGAAGATCTTCTCTTTCCAAACATAGACACAGTGTCTTATATGATAATATAGTATTTTTTTAATTTAACACTTTGTGGCGAATAACATTGTTCAGCTCTGATCAGCTATGCTCTTCCTTGTTCCCTACACCCTCACTGTCCTTATTACCACTCTGCTGCCCCGTGTCAGACATACAATCACATGACTTTTGGACTCCACTGCAGCTGCAAAGAAATTGTCAATAGTTAATTAATATAGTAGTAAACATTAGAGTTAATATTCATAGTCCTCAGCCATTATAGTTAATATCAGTGTGCTGTTCCAACAGCATCATATTTTAGAGGCAGAATTGTTACTGAGGCAAATAAATATTAACTGTCTCACACATTAGGACTTCATGATGAATAATTATTATACTTGTCACTAAAATTCTGTTGCACTTGTTGATTCAACTACTTCTTTTTAATAAACAAATTACATATGACAGTGAAATTCAGCTTTACTTCATCCAAAACTGTATTTTGATTTTAACTAGTTACAGTTGATTGTAAATTGTACACTATAGTAGTTAATTAATCCATTTAATTATTATTTTATACATGTTTCCAGTTTGTAACATTGTTTAAATTAATGTAGTTTAGTTTATTATGAAGCCTTCTTGCTTTAACTTTGTTGATGGTTTTTTACACACATCTGGTATGAATTTTCACAATGAAACGCGTACAGCATTGTGTGACTATTTCTATGTTAGTTTTAATCAACATAAATACTAGAAATATTTAAATGTTGTTGTCCGACAACAACTGACAATGAAGGACAAAAAACACTGCTGATGTTAACTGGTAAATACATTATATTATATATATATATATATATATATTATATTATATTATAAATTCTGTTTCACCTGTGAATGAACAATCTTCTATATGACATATTTCTCTAACACATTGTGTAAACGTCACGTTATCTTAAACTTGAACTATCAGGACGTCTCGATGGACAATGTATTAACCAACATTAACGCTGCGCATTACACTAACGCAGATCACTTAAACTGGGTCACATGTGGAGAAACACAAACAAACGTCGTTAGATTAACGTCGATTAAATTCACCTTTTCATTTTGACTGAACACCTCCACGGGCTAACCCAGGTTGACACAGGTTATCAGCCGCAAGCGGGGCCAGGTACCGTTAAGCATAGCAATCGCTAAGTTATCAGCTAACGCTAGCACTAGCTGGCTAGCTTGGTTAGCAAGGTGCATCTTCACCTGAACTGTGATATTAACAAGATGCTAATGCTAATTTTGGCTACCAAAGAAATAGGCTCAAAAACAAAATGTACTTACCGGAAAAAAATAACTTGCCTCGACTCCTTCCGAGTGTCTTTTGAACAAATGAACACCGAACAATGATATTAACAGGCAAAGCAACATGTTGGAGCTAACTTTGATGAACTGAAAACACAATAACAAGCCAAATGTCCGACACATTGCTCTGACCTCATATCCGGGTCAACAGGCAGGTCCCCTGTGTGGTCAAGTCACGCGGTAGCCACGCCTAAATCACTCTGCATTTATCGTCTATTATCTTTTAAATAGGACCATAATTTGACAAATGAACATCATGTTGTATTGAGGAAACATTCAAACCAGGCGATTGAGACCATAAACACGTGACGAAAACGTTTACTGAGGTAACAAATCAAGTGACAAGTAGGGTCATTTTCCCAACAGACCTCAATACAATCTGACTTCTTTTTGCAACCAGTGAGTCTCACCCTGATAGTCATTCGATAAAATGCAAGTTTAAGGCACTTCCCGCATATGACTTCATCTTCCAGACCCGAGTCGACGTCCATTTTTATATATACAGTCTATGACCGAAGCAAGATTTTTTTACAATAAGATTTTGCAGAATGACAAGTTACTGTATATCACACAAAAACATTGTCACCTATTCTTGGCATTTTTAAAGTGGTTGTGAAATTCTGGCGCTTCTTAGCGGTATAGACGGCGTATACCTGCATATCACGTAGACTACACCACTGAGCTTCTTCCTGTGTTTTAAAATGCCTTCCATCAATTTTTAGACTTGTGAGTTGCAGATTCCTGTCCTGGTGATTTTGAATTTTTGTGGACTGGCTATCTTGATTAGCTCCTTGGACGTCCATCTCTGATGCTTCTGTAACACTCTCTGCACTGAAGCGCTGATTGCTATAACTGTTTTTTATGCAAATGTTTCGATTCATTATCATAAGAGGCCAATAGTAATAGGCCATCAACATTACATTACATTTCATCACCGTGACCTCTCTAGATTGTCAGAATTGACGCATCACTTAACTCAGTAACATTCCTGAGTAAAAACCCCTCCACCTCTGGAACATAGGCTCATGTTCTGGGTTTACACAGCACTTTATCTACTTTATCTGTGCAGTTTTTACAGCTTATCAGTGTTTCGATTTTTTTTTTTTTTTTTTAAATGCGAGCAGAAGCTTCATTTTGATAAAAAAAAAAATGTGTTGGCCAGAAGGGGATTTACAGTAACCTCTTTCATAAGGTGCTCGATAATCTCCTCATCTGTGAGAGGAGACATGCCACACCAACATGCAGCAGTACCACAAATACTCATATGTGGCGCATACTGTATATAAGAGACAAAACACACTGATATTTACTCTTATACATTTAACTTGCATTAAACTCCATAAAAAATGTGGTAAAATGTACAAAAAATTAAAACATAATAATGTTATGTGATTATGTACATGATATATAGATTTTGGGACAAGCCTGTGCTCACTTTTCCCATATCATCCCTCTGAGTGCTTAGAAATTATTTCACAAATAATCTCCAGTGACCTTCTTTCCTTCTCTTTCGAGGTTTTATGTAGGCTAATATTTAGTCTTTTGTGTGTTTCATGCTCAGTGTGTGTGTGGTGTGTGTGGTGGTGTGAGACTGTATATAAAAATGGACGTCGACTCCGGGTCTGGAAGATGAAGTCAATGCGGAAGTGCCTTAAACTTGCATTTTATCGAATGACTATCAGGGTGAGACTCCACTGGTTGCAAAAAGAAGTCAGATTGTATTGAGGTCTGTGGGAAAATGACCCTACTTGTCACTTGATTTGTTACCTCAGTAAACGTTTTCGTCACGTGTTTATGGTCTCAATCGCTGGTTTGAAGTTTTCCTCAATACAACATGATGTTCATTTGTCAAATTATGGTCCTATTTAAAAGATAATAGACGATAAAGCAGAGTGATTTAGGGCGTGGCTACCGCGTGATTGACACACAGGGGACCTGCCTGTTGACCCGGATATGAGGTCAGAGCAATGTGTCGGACATTTGGCTTGTTATTGTGTTTTCAGTTCATCAAAGTTAGCTCCAACATGTTGTTTGCCTGTAAATATCTTGTTCGGTGTTCATTTGTTCTAAAAGACACTCGGAGGAGTCGGCAGTTATTTTTTTCCGGTAAGTACATTTTGTTTTGAGCCTATTTCTTTGCTAGCCAAAATTAGCATTAGCATCTTGTTAATATCACAGTTCAGGTGAAGATGCACCTTGCTAACCAAGCTAGCCAGCTAGTGCTAGCGTTAGCTGATAACTTAGCGATTGCTATGCTAACGGTACCTGGCCCCGCTGGGCTGATAACCTGTGTCAACCTG